GTAAAAGTGTGTTTCTTAAATACTTTAAACACTGCATGAGTTTATGTGAAAGTGTGTTTCTTAAATACTTTAAACACTGCATGAATTTATGTAAAAGTGTGTTTCTTAAATACTTTAAACACTGCATGAGTTTATGTAAAAGTGTGTTTCTTAAATACTTTAAACACTGCATGAGTTTATGTGAAAGTGTGTTTCTTAAATACTTTAAACACTGCATGAGTTTATGTGAAAGTGTGTTTCTTAAATACTTTAAACACTGCACAAGTTTCTGTATAAAAGTGTGTTTCTTAAATACTTTAAACACTGCATGAGTTTATGATATGTGAAAGTGTGTTTCTTAAATACTTTAAACACTGCCTGAGTTTCTGTATAAAAGTGCGTTTAAAAACTACTTCAAATAGTGTCTGCTTACTTGAAGTTTGCTGTTTTCCTGCTGCAACTGAATTATATCATCTTTCAGTCGTTTACATTCCTCTTGGTACTTCCTAAGTTCTCCATCAACGATCACGTTACTAGTCTTCATACAGATCACTTTATCATCGGTGTATTGCTCTGTTTCATACGTGGCCTTCTCTTTATCTACGTACTTCAACCAAAAACAGGTTTAAGTTTTAGTACAGTTTATTTATTCAAATCTATGTTTGTTTACTGAATCGGTTACAGATATAAAATACTACGAAACGAACAACGGGTAGGGAAGAACTGACTATGCACCTGTTTCATTATGAACATAGTTTAATTTCTAATGTCTTACTCATAAATAAACAATTGAACTGGTTTCAATTACACAGACCTGCGATGGTTTTATCGTCTTGAAATTTTTACGTGTTCTACAGTAACTGCTATACGCTAAATCCGAAAATGATATCCATTTTTCTCCATCACGTACACATTTTTCACAAAACGTCATAATGGAATACATAAAAGAAAGACCACAACACGTAGTTTTGAGACTAAAAGACGTAGAGTTCACAAAAAATTGTTGTTAATAAACGTTATAATAAAAAATGTTCATTGTGATAAACGAAATAATTTGATCTAAGTAAGAGTTGTTGTTTTTTCCTCCCGATTTGAAAAAATTCCTTACACGATAAAAAAAAAATAATATTTTTTAAATCTGCATAGCCGAATTACAGAAAATCTGCTATTAAAACCAAAACAACTTTTATGAAGTTTAAATTTGCAGGCCTGTGTTATCTTTGTAATGTGTTCTTTAGTAACAACCGGAGACAAACTGTATAGTAACTTTCGCCCAACCTGTACAGTTAAATAATAGTCTTTAGTTTGTGTTACAGAAATTATACAAAAAGCACAGAGCTCATTATCAGTATCTGGAAATTAACAAGAACTATATTAAGTGTCTATTAAAAGGATCAATTCTTTCTACTTATGTACAAGTTGTCTGAAACCATAGGCGACTTTCAGCTTTCATTAATATCAGATACGTGGCTGATTATGGTGCTGCCAAACCTGCCTGTTAATCCAAACTTGTTTCAAATTACGTGGAACACGTTCTGTAAAATTTACTGTGGTTGCTGACGTTTCGGACACCCCGTAGATTAGACCATTCTTAAGTGTTTTTGAACTTAGGTATTTGATCAATGTCATTGCCTTTTCTTCACGTTCCAAAGCAAGACTCTGTTGATGCAATCCTTATAACACAGAGTGAACCCTAACATAATTTACAAATCACCTTCTTATTCAATCAAGTGTGCAATACAAAATAGTGTGTGTTATTACTACCAGGGATGAGAAAAGAAACAAAGGGGCCTAGGTGTTCAAGACACTAAATGTAAAAAAACAACAACAAAATCTTTTAATTTTCACAACAGTTTTAATCAATAGATCACTGATATATATAATACATTTCTTAAAAAGAAATTAAATTCCAAAAACTTCTGTGACTTTATATTAATATCTCTATACAAAGAACATTGATTTACATTCGAGATTAATCTTCTGTCAACATACCCGGCTGAAACTTAAGTTATCGTCTCTGTGCTAAAGACCTCATCGGCTCTAATAAAAGTACGCAGCATATAACAAAAGCACTGTTTAACTCTGGATTTAAGTTATCATCTTTGTGCTGAAGACCTCATCGGCTCTGATAAAAGTATGCAGCATATAACAAAAGCACTGTTTAACTCTGGATTTAAGTTATCGTCTCTGTGCTAAAGACCTCATCCGTTCTGATAAAAGTACGCAGCATATAACAAAATCACTGTTCAACTCTGGATTTAAGTTATCGTCTCTGTGCTGAAGACCTCATCGGGTCTCCTGAATACCTCCACACAAACTGAAACACCGTCAACTTTGGAAGTAAGGTTTTGGTTCTGTACTAAAGGCCTCAGTGGGGATGATGAAAGCTTCAGTACATACATCAAAACACTGTCCACCTCTAAGTAGATGAAGGATTCGGTACCAGTATAATCTACTATCTTATCCTTAAACTAGGGTTTAAATGTAACAGATGTCATCAAACAAAGTGTAACCAACATATACAACACCTTACCTTTGGGGAGGGTTTTGGTGAAGGGTCAGGGGTTATTTTTGTAACAGGAGTTGTTTCATCAGCTTGTCCAACAGTACTGGTATCTAGGTTATTCTGGAAGGACAAGGGACAACACTACTAATGCTTTATAAAATAGGTAAATATGCAAAAAGCAACAAAGTAAATGGTATACATGAAGACAGTTACAACTATTTGGACAAAACAATTTATTTTTGTAAGTATTGTAATATTTACCAAGGTACCACCATTGTACTGCACTGGTTAAAGTAGAAACTGGAGTTTGGGCGGTGGGGGCGGGGTGGGTGAAGTGTAACAAATGCCTAAGAAAACTTCAATAAATCAACTATCCAGTACAACGTATTATTAAGTCTACACTGTATATTAGAGAAGAAGTCATCAATTATTTCGATGATAACTACATTCATATGACCCTGGACAACTTTGTATAACAAGGGTTAGCCAAAATTTCAATCTAGCCCAGTAAAAACCAGTTTTCACAAGTAATCATACATTCCTGATTGTAGTTCTATCCACAAACTTTCATTTATCCTATAATATTGTTTCAACTTCCCACATAGCTAGGGGACTCTCTCTAGTGTAGGGTGCTGGGCCAACCCTTACTTTAACTTACGGGGCTCTCTCTAGTGTAGGGTGCTGGGCCAACCCTTACTTTAACTTATGGGGCTCTCTCTAGTGTAGGGTGCTGGGCCAACCC